GAAAAGATCACCAACTAAATGATAAAACAAGGTAAAGCCTTTTGCTAATTATTTTTGAATAATTTATTCCTGGGCTCCCTGTGACTTGTTGAGGAATTGCAAGATACTAGGAAGTCTCTAATTAGGGAGTTTTAGAATAAACAGAAGTATAACATTCACAGGAGTTAGATTTGAAGAAAATTGCTTTTAACACACAGACTCACAAGGAAGTGAGCATCTTGGCGGGGGTTATTTATTATGTGTTTTACTTTGAACCAAGAACATGTGTGTTGATTAGGTCAAAAGTGTTCTTGTCCTCACATAGTGAAGGAAATGTATGTAAGATAAAGATGAATGTGGTAAGCAGGGAGATCCAGGCATGGCTGGCATTTGGCTTTGCTGTTGGCTGCAATGTGAACTGTGGACTGTGGGCAAATTAACGCACCGCTTTATGAATGGCCTGACCGGGCGCCGTGGCTCACGCTTGTAGTCCCAGCACTTTGGGAGGCTGAGGTGGGTGGATCATGAGGTCAGGAGATTGAGATCATCTTGGCTAACACAGTGAAACCCCGTCTCTACTGAAAATACAAAAAAATTAGCCAGGCGTGGTGGCGGCGCCTGTAGTCCCAGATACTCAGGAGGCTGAGGCAGGAGAACCGTGTGAACCCAGGAGGCAGAGCTTGCAGTGAGCCGAGATTGCGCCACTGCACTCCAGTCTGGGCGACAGAGTGAGACTCTGTTCTTAAAAAAAAAAAAAAAAGACAGTCTCACTCTGTCACCCAGGCTGGAGTGCAGTGGCGCAATCTCGGCTCACTGCAACCTCTGCCTCCTGGGTTCAAGTGATTCTCGTGCCTCAGCCTCCCAAGTAGCTGAGACTCCAGGTGTGCACCACCTCTCCTGGCTACTTTTTAAATTTTCTGTAGGGTCTTGCTATGTTGCCAGGCTGCTCTCAAACTCCTCGTGCTGGGATTACAGGTATGTACTTCTGCACTCAACCAATTTTGTCATTCCTTTTTGGTTTTTTGAGACAGGATCTCACCCTGTCACCCAGGCTGGAGTGCAGTGGCACAGTCATGGCTCACTGTAGCCTTGAACTTCTGGGCTCAAGTGATCCTCCTGCCTCAGCTTCTGAGTAGCTGGGATGACATTTGTACCACAATCCCAGGCTAATTTATATAGAGATGGAATTTTGCCATATTGCTCAGCTGGTCTTGAACCTCTGTGCTTAAGCAATCCTCCCGCCTCAGCCTCCCAAAGTGCTGGGATCACAGGCGTGAGCCACCGCTCCTGGCTCATTTTGTCATTTCTTGAAAATGAGATTAGGAGCTCCCTGAGAAAACTCTTCATTTTACTTTTAAGTATTTCTCCTTAAACTAGTCCAATGTTCATTGCTTAGCCAACTCCAACACTGGCTATAAATTATCTAAGCTAACAGTTCAAAAGCAGCCAGTGTGGTGGCTCACGCCTGTAATCGTAGCACTTTGGGAGGCTGAGGTGGGTGGATCACCTGAGGTCAGGAGTTCGAGAGCAGCCTGGCCAACATAGCAAAACCCTGCCTCTACTAAAAATACAAAAAATTAGCTGGGTGTGATGGCGGGCACCTGTAATCCCAGCTGCTTGGGAGGCAGAGGCAAGTGAATTGCTTGAACCTGGGAGGCAGAGGTTGCAGTGAGCTGAGATCGCACCATTGCACTCCAGCCTGGGTGACAGAGTGAGACTCTGTCAAAAAAAAAAAAAAAAGAAAAACAAAAAGATTCAAAGGCTAGGCACGGTGGCTCATGCCTGTAATCCCAGCACTTTGGGAGGCCAAGGCAGGCAGATCACCTGAGGTCGGGAGTTCGAGACCAGCCTGGCTGGAACCTTTTGTTTTTGAGATGGAGTCTTGCTCTGTCATGCCCAGGCTAGAGTGCAGTGGTGCGATCTCAGCTCACTGCAACTTCCCGCCTCCTGGGTTCAAGTGATTCTCCTGCCTCAGCCTCCCGAGTAGCTGGGATTACAGGAGCCTGCTACCACACCTGGATAACTTTTGTATTTTTAGTAGAGACAGGGCTTCACCATGCTGGTCAGGCTGGTCTCAACCTCCTGACCATAGGTGATCCGGCTGTCTCTGCCTCCAAAAGTGCTGAGATTACAGGCATGAGTTACCTTCGCATCCAGTCAAAAAGGTTACAATCCCTATTTTTAGATCTCAGGAAACTAGGTGGTAAAAACTTCAGCACATATATATATATATATATATATATATATTTTTTTTTTGAGATGGAGTCTTGTTCTGTTACTCAGGCTGGAGTGTAGTGATGCGATCTTAGCTCACTGTAACCTCCACCTTCTGGGTTTGAGTGATTCTCATGCCTCAGCCTCCTGAGTAGCTGCAATGATAGGCACCCATCACCACTCCCAGCTAATTTTTTTGTATTTTTTGTAGAGATGGGGTTTCACCATGTTGCCTAGGCAGGTCTCAAACTCCTGGCCTCAGGTGATCTGCCCACCTTGGCCTCTCAAAGTGCTGGGATTACAGGTGTGAGCCACTGTGCCTGGCTACACTATATTTTTGGTGTAGTTTTTCTTATGTTAGAATAACATGATAAAGGCTATGCCCTATGTGAAATTGACACATTTGATATTTATGACACCTGCTATATAGCATTTGTTTCCTGCATTGATTTTAAAATGCTTAGAAATAAAATACCCGCTGGGCATGTTGGCTCACACCTATAATCCCAGCACTCTGGCAGGCAAAGGTAGGAGGATCACTTGAGCCAGGAGTTCAAAATTAGGCTGGGCAACATAGTGAGACCTCATCTCTACAAAAACTAAACAAAATTAGATAGGTGTGGTGGCATGCACCAGCAGTCCCAACTACTCAGGAGGCTGAGATGGGAAGATTGCTTGAGTCCGGGAGCTGAGATCACGCCACTGCACTCTGGCCTAGGTGATACAGCGAGACCCCATCTCAAAAAATAAATAAAACCAGGGCTGGGTGTGGTGGCTCATGCCTGTAATCCCAGCACTTTGGGAGGCCAAGGCAGGCAGATTACAAGGTCAGGAATTCGAGACCATCTTGGCCAATATGGCAAAACCCCGTCTCTACTAAAAATACAAAAATTAGCTGGGCATGGTGGCATGCACTTGTAGTCCCAGCTACTTGAGAGGCTGAGGCAGAAGAATCACTTGAACCCGGGAGGCAGAGGTTACAGTGAGCCAAGATCACGCCACTGCACTCCAGCCTGGGTGACAGAGCGAGACTCCATCTCAAAAATAAAATAAAATAAAAAAGTAAATAAAACCTCTGCTAGTCTCAGAAAATGAAGTTAGTTCAGAGGAATAAATGCTGTGGTGGTCTGGGATGCAGTGGCACACACCTGTAATCCCAGCTACCCAGGAGGCTGAGGTGGGAGGATCCTTTGAGCCCAGAAGTTCAGGGCTGTGATAAGCTATGATTGCACCACTGCACTCAAGCCTGGGTGACAGAGTGAGACTCTTTCTAAAACAACCAAAACAAAACATAATATTTGACTTCACAGGGCTGCTATGAGGATTAAATGAGGTAATGTATGAGGAACTAGTATATAAAGTATCAAATGATGTTAAAATCTTGGTTATGAGTTGTTGATAGTATTATTTGGGGAAATGAAACCAACCTATTGAGCACTCATCTAGGCTAAAAGATGGTGCCCATACTACAGGGATAAGGCATTGTTAAAAGTTTTAAAAGGTTTTTAGTTCCTTATTCATAACTTTTCTTGGGTTTGCATAAAGTCAGTTGATACAACAAGATTGAATTTGTTTTTATTATTTAATTTTTATCTTGTAATGAGAGTTGTTTTTGTGTAATTCCTGTTTTAAATCTTATGTAGTTCTAAATCAGCTGTTTTTATTTTATTTTATTTATTTACTTTGTAGAGATTTCAACCTCACTATGTTTCCTAGGCTGGTCTCAAACCTCTGTGCTCAAGCGATCTTCCTGCCTCAGCGTCCCAAAGTGCTGGGATTATGGGATAAATCAGCCGTCTAAAACAAAGGTATGGTCTGGCGCCATACAAAAATTAGCCAGGCGTGTTGGTGGGCACCTGTAATCCCAGCTACTCAGGAGGCTGAGGCAGGAGGATCGCTTGAACCCAGGCGGCAGAGGTTGCAGTGAGCCGAGATCGAGCCACTGCACTCTAGCAGGAGCAACAGAGTGAGACCCTGTCTCAAAAAAGAAAAAAAAAAAAAAAAAAAAGAATATCACTATCAGTCACCCCTTGATATAACTGGAGATCTGAGATAATATAACAGCTGTGGCACGGCTATGGACCAGAGAGGGGACAGGAGGCTTCCCCAAGGGTAGCTGTAGTTCAGTAATCCGTTAACAAAAGTCTCCCTTCTAAAGTCTGTCTTTTTTTTTTTTAAAGACAGAGTCTCACTCTGTCACCCAGGGTGTAAGTGCAGTAGCGTGATCTCGGCTTATTGCAACCTCCACCTCCCAACTTCAAGTGATTCTCCTGCCTCAGCCTCCCAAGTAGCTGGGACTACAGGCATGTGCCACCACGCCCAGCTAATTTTTGTAATTTTTTTTTTTTTTTTTTAGCAGAGTTGGGGCTTCACCACTTTGACCAGGGTGGTCTCAAACTCCTGACCTCAAGTGATCCTCCTGCCTCAGGCTCCCAAAGTGCTGGGATTACAGGCGTGAGCCACCGTGCCCAGCCAAAAGTCTCCTTCTTGAGTCTAAATTGCTTCAAATGCATAGAAGCTCCCATAAAATTGAAATACAACATATAGCAAAGTAAGTCATAGGGGCGATGTAGGAATTAATGTTTCATGAAATGCAGACATTTATGTACAGACAGGTGATGTTATAGATAATAAAGCTAGGACAGGTGATGACCTAAGTCTATTTTGCTGAGCGAAGGGTACCAAAGGGCAAAATACTTCAATTAAGAGAACCATTCATCTCAATATTTAACTCTGATGTGACTGTTTAAGTTGCATTCCAACAGACATTACCCAGAATACTGAATAATAGAACTGCTAAGAAAGGGAACATGTTACAATTAACATCTTAATGTAGAATTTCAGCCTATTGGCAAATACATTGGTTCCTGGGATATTGAGCTTTGAAGCAACATGTTCTACAATACTCCTAAAGCCACCAGATATTAGGAAAAGCTGAACATTTCGCTCCTGTAGGCGACTTACCAGTTCCCTGAAAAAATAAAATACAACCAAACACTGAGTAATACAAAAGGGAAAAAAAAAATGAAACACAAAGAGGAAACTAAGATACATTTTCTTCTCCTGAATGCATTTGCCTGAGGTATATTTGACAAGGTATATTGCCTGGGGTGTTAACGTTTTATATATGTTTTTCTCTTTCTTTTCTTTTGAGACAGATTTTCACTCTTGTCACCCAGGCTGGAGTGAAAGGGTGCAATCTCGGCTCACTGCAACCTCCACCTCCGGGGTTCAAGTGATTCTCCTGCCTCAGACTCCTGAGTATTACAAGCCCGTACCACAATGCCCGGTTAATTTTTTTTTTTTTTTTTTGAGATGGAGTCTCGCTCTGTCACCCTAGCTGGAGCGCACTGGCGTGATCTTGGCTCACAGCAACCTCTGCCTCCCAGGTTCCAGTGATTTTCCTCCCTCAGCCTCCCAGGTAGCTGGGATTATAGGCGCCCACCACCATGCCCAGCTACTTTTTTGTATTTTTAGTAGAGACTGGGTTTCACCATGTTGGCCAGGCTGGTCTCGAACTCCTGACCTCAGGTGATCCACCCATCTCGGCCTCCCAAAGTGCTGGGATTACAGGCGTGAGCCACTGTGCCTAACCTAATTTTTGTATTTTTAGTAGAGATGGGGTTTCATCATATTGGTTAGGCTAGTCTCAAACTCCTGACCTAGTGATTCATCCGCCTTGGCCTCTGAAAGTGCTGGGATTACAGGCGTGAGCCACTATGCCCAGCCTTACATGTGTTTTTCTAAATGCACTTAGAAATCAATGGGTAGGGCTTGGCTGCTTTAGCACACCGTCCCAGAATTCTACTGTGCCCATGGACCCAGAAAAACACAAGATGAGGACAAACAAGGAAAGCTTAGGTTTTCCCTGGAGAAAGAGGAAAGGCAGAAACAGACAGGACCAGACAACTGGCCAGAAAGACCAATTGTAAGTGCCAAAAGAACCACACAGGCCACGCCTTTAATTTCAGCACTTTGGGAAGCCAAGGTAGAAAATCACTTGAGGCCAGTAGGTTGAGAACAGCCTGGGCAACATAGCAAGACCCCATCTCTACAAGAAATTTTTTAAAGGCTGGGTATAGTGGCTCAAACCTATAATTCCAACACTTTGGGAGGCTGAGGTGGGAAAATTGGTCACTTGAGCTCACAAATTCAAGACCAGCCTGGGCAACGTAGTGAGACCCTGTGTCTATAAAAAAAATTAAAAAAAAAAAATCCGGCATGGTGGCCTATGTCTTTAGTCCCAGCTACTTAGGAAGCGGAGGCAGGAGGATCCCTTGAGCCCAGAAGGTAGATGCTGCAGTGAGCTGTGTTCATGCCACTGGACTTCAGCCTGGGTGACAAAGCAAGACCCTCACACACACACACACACAAATTTCTTTTAATTAGCTGGGCATGGTGGCATGCACCTGTAGTCCTTACTACTAAGGATGCTAAGGTGGGAGGGCCACCTGACCCCAGGAGTTCAAGGCTGCAGTGGGACATGATTATACCACTGTACTCCAACCTGGGCAACAGAATGAGACTCTGACTCTAAAAAAAATAATAATAGGCCGGGTGCGGTGGCTCACACCTGTAATCCCAGCACAGTGGGAGGCCGAGGCAGGCAGATCACTTGAGGTGAAGAGTTTGAGACCAGCCTGGCCAACATGGTGAAACCCATCTCTACTAAAAATACAAAAATTAGCCAGGTGTGGTGGCGGGTGCCTGTAATCCCAGCTACTCCTGAGGCTGAGGCAGGAGAATCCCAGCAGTTTGGGAGTCCAAGGCGGGTGGATCACCTGAGGTCAGGAGTTTGAGACCAGCCTAACCAACATGGTCAAATCCTGTCTCTACTAAAAATACAAAAACTAGCCTGGCATGGTGGGTGCCTGAAACCCCAACTACTCGGGAGGCTGAGGCAGGAGAATCACTTGAACCAGGGAGGCAGAAGTTGCAGTGAGCCGAGATTGTACCACTGCACTCCAGTCTGGACGAGAAAGCGAGACTCTGCCTCAATAAATAAATAAATAAATACATAAATAAAATTAAAAAAAAAAAAGAAAATAAATAAACCACCCAGAGGGCGCTCTAAAGCAATAGTTAGATGCTCTCAGGAGGACTTGCCCTCCCCTCCCACACTGGTGCTGAAATACACTTGGAGTAGGGGCTCCTCTTACCTTATGCCGGGGGTCAGGTGTGGGGGGTGTTCTGCTATGAGTCTCTGCACCTGCTCCCTGGAGGGCTGGATGAGGGCTAAGCGCTCCGTGAGAGCAGCTTTGAAAGGCACTGCCCCGCCCATGGCTCACCGTGTCCTGGGAGGGAGACCCAACAGTCAGGCCAGCCAGGTCCGCTGTCCTCGAGGTTAACATGCCTTACTGCCCCGGGTCTGCACAACATCCACCAACAGGAAGATGCTACCAAGAGTCCCACTGTGCAACAGACAGGCTTTGCTGCTATGAGAGCAAGGCCCTGGAATAAACTTTTGAAGTTTTGCTTGAAAATAACATTAACAAGCTGGGCGCAATGACTCACGCCTATAATGCCAAAACTTTGGGAAGCTGAGGTGGGCAGATCACCTGAAGCCAGATCAAGACCAGCCTGGACAACATGACGAAACCCCATCTCTACTAAAAAATTGCTAAAGTCAGCCAGGTGTGGTGGTGCACACCTGTAATCCCAGCTACTTGGGAGGCTGAGGCAGGAGAGTTGCTGGAACCTGGGAGGTGGAGGCTGCAGTGAGACGAGATCGTGCCACTGCACCCCAGCCTGGACGACAGAGACTCCATCTCAAAAAAAAAAAAAAGTTACACAGTCTATTCATAGGTAGTTTTCTTGAAAGCCGTGAGCTGTCATAAATCAAGAAAGAGACCAAAGGCTAAACGTTCTTCCATGAAAGGAAATGGAAAATAAAATGGTGGCTAGGCGTGGTGGCTCATGCCTGTGATCCCAGCACTTTGGGAGGTCGAGGCGGGCAAATCACGAGGTTAGAAGTTCAAGACCAGGCTGGCCAACATAGTGAAACACCATCTCCACTAAAAATACAAAATTTAGCTGGGCGTGGTGGCGCGCGCCTGTAATTCTAGCTACTTGGGAGGCTGAGACAGGAGAATTGCTTGAACCCAGGAGGTGGAGGTTGCAGTAAGCCGAGATTGCACCATTGCACTCCAGCCTGGTGACAGAGCAAGACTCTGTCTTGGAAAAAAAAAAAGAAAGAAAATGACATGGTGCATGACTGGGGGACTGGGGCTGCAGAGGGTGGTGCCCAGCTGCAGGACGGGAGGCGGGAGGGCAGGAGGGAGGGAGGGAGAGAGGAGCTCTGACCCAGGATCCACCAAGAGGCTCTGAACCTTTCTAGGGAACCACCAAGGCCACACTTTCAACTATGACACAAAGCCGCTGGACACTTGGACCCCACCTCCCAGGCCATCTTCTTTGGTTAGTGATGGTTGTCATTTCCCTGATCGAGTTAAGAACATGTCTTATCCATATTTGTTTGCCATAAATATTTATATAAATGAATGAATATATCAAATTTAGCTCTAAGGAATGAAAGAAAAAGCCTAGTACTCATGTTCCATAGCCAGGGTCTAGCACTTCATCCAAAACAGCCACTCTTTAGAAAGTCTTTATCATTTCATGGTTGGGTGCGGTGGCTCACGCCTGTAATCCCAGCACTTTGGGAGGCCGAGGCGGGTGGATCCCGAGGTCACGAGTTTGAGACCAGCGTGACCAACATGGTGAAGCTCCGTCTCTACTAAAAATACAAAAATTAGCCAGGCATGGTTGCACACGCCTGTAATCCTAGCTACTCAGGAGGCTGAGGCAGGATAATCGCTTGAACCCGGGAGGTGGAGGTTGCAGTGAGCCACGACTGTGCCATTGCACTCTAGTCTGGGCAAGAGAGTGAGACTCTGTCTCAAAAAAAAAAAAAAAAAAAAAAAAAAGAAATTCTTTATCATTTCGTAAAGTGGATAAATGCTATCCCTACATTTCTGACACCACATCCTCTACACCACAGATTTTGGCTAGCTCACCAATTCCTTCTTCTCTGATGACCATGCTGTCAACATCAAAACATACAGCATTTGCTGAGTAGGAAAGCTTCCTCAGCTCTGAGTGGGAGACCATCCTTGGAAGAATTTTCCTCCTACAAGAAAAAAAGATAAATGTATTTTAGACATCAAATAAAATTATGAAAAGATCCCACCTTGCCTACTAAGCCAGCCTAATTTGTGTCAAAGTCAGTGCAGGCCCCATAAGAGTGTATTCATTAATTCAATCATTTCTTTTTCCTTTTTTTTTTTTTGCTTCCCACACTATACCAATTTCTTCTTTCTTTCTGTTTCATTATTACTATTTTTTTTAGATGGAGTCTTACTCTGTTGCCCAGGCTGGAGGGCAGTGGCATGATCTTGGCTTACGGCAACCTCCACCTCCCTGGTTTAAGTGATTTTCGTGCCTCAGCCTCCTGAGTAGCTGGGATTACAGGCATGTGCCACCACACCCGGCTAATTGTTTATTTTTTTATTTTTTTATTTTTATTAGAGATGGGGTTTCACCATGTTGGCCAGGCTGGTCTTGAACTCCTGACCTCAGGTGATCTGCCCACCTCAGCCTCCCAAAGTGCTGGGATTACAGGTGTGAGCCACTGCGCCTGGGTGGTACCAACTTTTAAATATATTTGATGTTGAGGCTGGGTGCGGTGGGTCACTCCTGTAATCCCAGCACTTTGGGAGGCCAAGGCTGGCGGATCACCTGAGGTCAGGAGTTTGAGACCAGCCTGGACAACATGGTGAAATCTACTTAAAAAAAAAAAAAAAAATTAGCTGGGCATGGTGGTGAGCACCCATAATCCCAGCTACCCAGGAGGCTGAGGCAGGAGAATCACTGGAACCTGGGAGGCAGAGGCTGCAGTGAGCCAAGATGGCACCACTGCACTCCAGCCTGTTAGATAAAGCAAGACTGTCTGAAAAAAAAAAAAATATATATATATATATATATATAAAAAAATATAAAAAAGGTAACTACATAAACAAATATAAATATAAATATATATATGATGTTGAACCAATATTCATTTATTTTTGACCTAATTGAAGAAAGAAAGCAAGCATTAAAGTAGAGGTGTGCATAAGACTCTATGGGCACATAGGAAAAATGTTTAGCCTTATCTATGAAACAGGGCTTCACACTGGGCACAGTGGCTCATGCCTGTAATCCCAGCACTTTGGGAGGCTAAAGCAGGAAGATCGCCTAAGGCCAGGAGTTCGAGACTAGCCTGGGGAACACAGAGAGACTGAATCTCTACTAAAAATAAGAATACAAAAAATTAGCTGGGCATCGTGGTGCACACCTGTAATCCCAGCTACTTGGGAGACTGAGGCAGGAGAATCACTTGAACCCAGGAGGTGGAGGCTGCAGTGAGCTGAGATTGTGCCACTGTACTCCAGTATGGGCAACAGAGCAAGACCCTGACTCTAACTAAAGGAAAAGAAAAGGAAGAAGGTTTCAAGGAGGCACAGGTATTTCAGCTGAATCTGACAGGTTAAGTGGCCCTTTGAGTGGCTTGTCAAAGGGCAGGGTATCAATTTGGTGTGTGCTGGGAGGAGAGGAAGGGAGGTAGAGACAAGGAGAGAGGCTTGTGATGGCAGAGGGAGGAGTGTGGGCAAAGACAAGGAGGAGGAAGCAGATGACCTGCTGGAAGCTACCCCATGGCTTGGTCCAGGGGCCTGGCAGTGCATCAGGAGTTCAGACTAAGCAGGTCTTAGGGCCAGGCTAAGGAGTTTAGACATTAGGCTTCAGGTACTGGAAAAGACTTTAAGCCTCAGAAGAAAGGTCAGAGCTAAATATAAGGGCTAAATATACATGTCGCCAATGTAGAGGTGCTAGTTGAAGACGTGATCTGATTAAAGGCCAGGGAGAGGCTGGGCGTAGTGGCTCATGCCTGTAATCCTAGCACTCTGGGAGGCTGAGGCGGGAAGATCACTTAAGGCCAGGAGTTCAAGACCAGTCTGGCCAACGTGACAAAATCCCATCTCTACTAAAAATACAAAAATCAGCTGGGCAGGGTGGGGTACACTAGTAGTCCCAGCTACTTGGGAGGTTGAGGCAGGAGAATCACTTGAACCTGGGAGGTGGAGATTGTAGTAAGCCAAGATCACACCACTGCCCTCCAGCATGGGGCCACAGAGTGAGACCCTGTCTCAAGAAAATAAAAAATAACAAAAATAAAGTCCATGGAGAACAGAAAGAGGGAGAAGAGAAGAGCGCTAAGGATAGAGCCTACAGGACCACCACCTTTACGTCCTGACTTGAGCCAGGGAAGAAGGAAAATGGTGAAGGTACAGGAAGAAACTTTGGGAGGCACACTGCTACAGAAGCTGCAGAGGACAGAGATTCAAAAAGAATTTTTTTTTTTTTTGAGACAAGTTCTCACTCTGTCACCCAGTGCAGTGGTACAATTGTGGCTCACTGCAGCCTCCAATCCCTGGGCTCAAGCGATCCTCCTGCCTCAGTCTCCCAAGTAGCAGAGACTACAGGCACGTGCCACTATGCCTGGCTAATTAAAAAAAAATTTTTTTTTGTACAGATGGGGGTCTTGCTATGGTGCCCAGACTGGTCTTGAACTCCTGGATTCAAGCAATCTTCCCACCTAGATCTCCCAAAGTGGTGGGATTACAGGCATGAGGCCCCCATACCTGGCATTTATTTGTTAGAAAATCTTTGGACTAGAATTAGGGTGAAAGGGATCCTCAACGTTGCCTAGACCAGCCTCCCATCAGAGACTAATATGTCAAATACAAGGCTACACAGATGATGTAAATAATCTATATTTAGAATAGACTGTGGTTAAAAACAGACTCAAAGCAGCTGAGCAACCCACTGTTCAACTGATTTTTAACCAATGCAGTTGGCAGAATAATGCCATTTAAAGTTGACCTGGAAAAAAAAATCTTTTAAGTCAGGGGTCAGCAAACTATGGCTTGCTTGTAGGCCAAATTCACCCTGCCACCTGGTTTTGTATGGCTCACAAGTAAGAACGATTTTTACATTTTATTTTACTTTTTTTTTTTTGAGACAGGATCTCATTCTATCACCTAGGCTGGAGTGCAGTGTTGCCATCATAGCTCGCTGCAGCTTCAAACTCCTGGACTCAAGAGATTCTTCCATCTTGGGCTCTCGAGTGGCTGGGACTACAGGTGTGAGCCACCATGCCTGGCTGATTTTTACATTTTAAACAGTTGAAAAAAAATCAAATAGAAGAATAGTATTTTTTGACATGTAAAAATTAATGAAATTCAAATTTCAGGCTGGCTACAGTGGCTCACGCCTGCTAATCCTAGCACTTTGGGAGGCTGAGACAGGAGGATTACTTGAAGCCAGGAGTTCAACATCAATCTGGGCAACATAGCAAGACTCCATCTCTACAAACGTATTTTTAAAATTAGCCAGGTGTGATGACACACACCTATAGACCTAGCTACTCAGGAGGCTGAGGCAGAAGGATTGCTTGAGCACAGGAGTTTGAGGCTGCAGTGAGCTACGACCATGACACTGCACTGCAGCCTGGGTGACAGAATGAGAGCCTGTCTCAAAAGTAATAATAATAAATAAAAATGAAATGCAAATTTCAGTGTCTATTAATAATTCTTTTTTTTTTTTTTTTTAAAGGAGTCTCACTTTGTCACGCAGGCTGGAGTGCAGTGACGCAATCTTGACTCACTACAATCTCTGCCTCCCAGGTTTGAGCAATTCTCCTGCCCCAGCCTCCCGAGTAGCTGGGATTACAGGCACATGCCACCACGCCCAGCTAATTTTTGTATTTTAGTAGAGATGGGGTTTCACCATGGTGGCCAGGCTGGTCTCAAACTCCTGTCCTCAGTAGAGATGGGATTTCACCATAGTGGCCAGGCTGGTCTCAAACTCCTGTCCTCAAGTGATCCACCTGCCTCAGCCTCCCAAAATGCTGTGATTACAGACCAGCCTAGCCAACATGGTGAAACCCTGTCTCTATAAGAAAAGATAAAAAATAAAAATAAAAAGTAAAAAGAAACCAGTCATTTGGCTTCGGTCCAGCAGGAATCAAGCTAATTCATACTACATGCCCAGGCAGGCTCACTGTAAAGGCGTCAAAGTCAGCAGGTCTATCAGCAGAGAAACAGCACTTACGGTAATGCAATTCCACTAAGTATGGGGAATGAAGCATAAGTGAGTGAATAGGAAGCCAGAAACAGACAAATAGTGTAAAAGCAGCTAAAATGAGATAAGTGGGACAAGCTAAGGAACTTTTTAAGAAGATGCAAGAGAAAGCTGAGTGTGGTGGCTCACGCCTGTAATCCCAGAACTTTGGGAGGCTGAGGAGGGCAGATCACCTGAGGTTGGGAGTTTGAGACCAGCCTGACTAACACGGAGAAAACCCATCTCTAGTAAAAATACAAAATTAGCTGGGCATGGTGGCGCATGCCTGTAATCACAGCTATTCAGGAGGCTGAAGCAGGAGAATCGCTTGAACCCGGGAATTGGAGTTTGCAGTGAGCCGAGATGGCACCATCGCACTCCAGCCTGGGCAACAAGAATGAAACTCCATCTCAAAAAAAAAAAAAAAAAAAAAAAAAAAAAAAAGAAGGTACATGAGGCAACACAACAGAACTAAGAATGGGCAATGCTCCTGAGAACGACTGATGGGCACCAGAACCTCAAAGCCAGTCCCCAGGGACCCGGACACAAGACCCGAGAGAGGAATGCATGGGCACCATCTTCAAGAGGCTTCCAGTGTTGTTGAGATGATCAGACAAATAATTACTGGCCATGTTTGAAAAACCAGGTGCTTTGGCCACAAGCGATGATCATGCCTGTAATCCCAGCACTTTGGGAGGCCAAGGTGGGCGGATCACCTGAGGTCAGGAGTTTGAGACCAGCCAGGCCAACACAGTGAAACCCCATCTGTACTAGAAGTACAAAAACTAGCCAGGTGCTTGTAATCCCAGCTACTCAGGAGGCTGAGGCAGGAGAATCGCTTGAACCTGGGAGGCGGACGTTGCAGTGAGCTGAGATAGTGCCAGTGCACTCCAGCTTGGGTGACAAGAGTGAAACTCTGTCTCAAAAAAAAAAAAAAAAGACAAACCAGGTACTTGAACCTCTTTCCAACCACTGACACTAGCAATAGCTTCAATGAGACTGGCTGGGTGCAGTGGCTCACACTTGTAATAATTCCAGCACTTTGGGAGGCTGAGACAGCAAGATCCCTTGAGCTCAGGAGTTTGAGACCAGCCTGGGGAATATAGTGAGATTACTTCTCTAAAAGAATAATAAAAAAAAATTGGTGGGGCATGGTGGTGCACGCCTGCGGTCCCAGGTATTCAAGAGCCTGAGGTGGTAGGATGGCTGGAGCCCAGGAGTTCAAGGGTGCAGTGAGCCGAGATCAGGCCATAGCACTCCAGCCTGGGTGACAGAGTGAGACACCGTCTAAAAAAAAAAAAAAAAAAAAAAAAAAAAAAAGCAAGACCATCAGCCTTGAGTTTGAAAGGAAATGTACATTTCCTCCACTAAAAGTTAGAACTGATTTACACATCCCCAGCTGACCACTAGGCCTAATATACAGCTCAGAATTGTTGACACCTGCCTTCTGGGTTGTAATGTGGTCCCAAGGAGAAAACACAGTATTTTTGGCTCTTTTTTTAGAGACAAGGTCTCACTCACTCTGTCGCCCACACTGGAGTGCCAATGGTGTAATCATAGCTCACTGTGGCCTCAACCTCCTGGGCTGAAGTGATCCTCCTGCCTCAGCCTCCTGAGTAGCAGAGACTACAGGCACACACCACCACACCCAGCTAAGTTATTATTATTATCATTATTATTATTATTATTGCAGAGATGAGGTCTCACTATATTACCCAGGCTGGTCTTGAATTCCTGGCCTCAAATGATCTTCCCATCTTGCCTCCCAAAGTGCTGGGATTATAAGCATGAGCCACAGTGCTGGCCAAAACAGAATGTTAGAGACACACTTTACATTGAATTTACTTGGAAGGCTGATTCTTTTTCCACACCCTCCCTAGGAGAGCGAGCAGGATTTTAGGACCTTAACTCTGCCCATGAAATGGACAGGCCAGGGGAGATGGCCTTCACCCATTGGGTTACAAGAGTATCAGCTCCCTCCCTGCTTGATTGAGCAGCTGAGCAAACTCGGCCACAGCTCCTTTGAGCTCTTTCCATCCTGCTCTGCAAAATGCTGTACTTCTGATTTCCTCCTTTTTTATTTTTATTTTTATTTTTGAGATGGGGTCTCACTCTGTTGCCCAGGCTGGAGTGCAATGATGTGATCTCGGCTCACTGCAACCTCCGCCTCCCGGGTTCAAGCAATTCTCCTGCCTCCCGAGTAGCTGGGATTGTCACCCCACCATGCCTGACTAATTCTTTTGTATTTTTAGTAGAGACGGAGTTTCACCATGTTGGCCAGGCCAGTCTCAAACTCCTGACCTCAAGTGATCCACCTGCCTCCACCTCCCAAAGTGCTAGGATGACAGGTGTGAGCCACCACGCCTGGCCGATTTCCTCCTGTTTTCATTGTCTCTACCAGGAGTGACTCACAATCCATGCATGTTTAAAATTCTTGTGGCTATAGGGGAAAAAAAGTCTGCCTAGTAAGTTCAGTTGCTTCAAAGTAAATTGTGTACATCAGAATTCCACACACAGAAAAATCATTGCCGGAGAATGGACTCTGGATTCTTCATATTTGGCTCTAACAGGGAGGGAGAGGGCAGGGCCAGGGGTAGAAGACATGCCGGTGTGAAGGTCTATTCTCAGATTCTCAGACACAGCGGCTTCCAGGCCCCATCCAGACCACTGCCTTCTGCAGCTCAGAACAGAACTTCTGCCTGGCTGGCCCCAGCTACTTCATCTGGGGCAAGCAAAGGACCAACTGATTTAAAAAAAAAAAAAAAAAAGCCACTGCTGACAAGGCCTTCTTGCCAATAGTTCCAAAGTACAAAAGCAAGTTTTCCTGCAGCGCCAGCCTTTGGAGGCCTGATTTTGGATAAGAGGAAAAAAGTTCCTTGCCCAAACAAATGCTTTCCAAACTTCTCAATCTCTGTATCTTTCAAGAGACTTCTAAGATCACCTTGCTTCCTTCACCTTTTGTTAGGACTGACCTCTTATCTTCACCTGTGTAAGGAAAAAATAAAAGCCAGTACAGAGGTTGTGAAGGTCACGCATAGTTGTGACAACTAAGCTTACTTGCTTTGGTAGTAGGGACAAATTTGTTCAGGCCCCCAGGCATTGAAAGAGTACACAGCAGATTCTGAAAATGTTCTGAATCAGAGGAGAGTCAAAGAGGCTCCCTGTAACAAGGGCTGGAAGTCCCCAGCCCATGCACTTACACTCTATTTTATTTTATCCTTTTTTTTTTTAGATAGTCTTGCTCTGTCACCCAGGCTGGAGTGCAGTGGTACGATCTTGGCTCACTGCAATCTCTGCCTCCCGGGTTCAAGCGATTCTCACATCTCAGCCTCCCGAATAGCTGGGATCAGAAGCATGCGCCGCCACAAGTGGCTAATTTTTGTATTTTCAGTAGAGATGGGGTTTCACTATGTTGGCCAGGCTGGTCTTGAACTCCTGACCTCAGGTGATCTGCGCACTTCAGCCTCCCAAAATGCTGGGATTACAGGTGTGAGCCACCACACCTGGCCTTATGCTATATTTTATGATTTAAAAAAAAAAAAAAAAAAAAAGCCAGCATAGTCATAAAAAAGAATGAAATTATGTCCTTTGCTACAACATGAATGCAGCTAGAGGCCATTATCCTAAGTGAATTAGCGCAGAAACAGAAAACCAAATACCACATGTTCTTACTTATAAGTGGGAGCTAAACACTGGGTACACATGGATACAAAGATGGGAAAAACACACACTGATGGCCAGGCACGGTGACTAACACCTGTAATCCCAGCACTTTGGGAGGCTGAGGTGGGCAAATCACCTGAGATCAGGAGTTCGAGACCTGCCTGGCTAACATGGTGAAACTCCATCTCTACTAAAAATACAAAAATTAGTGGGGCATGGTGGCAGGCACCTGTAATCCCCGCTACTCAGGAGGCTGAGGCAGGAGAATCGCTTGAACCCGGGAGGCAGAGGTTGTAGTGAGCTGAGATCACACCATTGTGCTCCAGCCTCGGCGACAGAGTGAGACTTTGTGAAACAACAACAACAAAACCAGATACTGAGGACTACAAGAAGGCAGCGGAAGGAGGGCAAGGACTGAGAAACGACCTACTGGGTACTGCGCTCAAACCCTGGGTGATGGGATCAATTGTACCCCAAACCTCAGCATTATGTGATATACCCATGTAACAAACCTGCACATGTACTCCTTGAAGCTAAAATAAAAGTTGAAATGATATGTAATATAACCAGCTATTCTGGGAAGCTGAGATCTTCTGCATGCCACATAGTTGACATCAATTTTTAAAATTCAGGTGAGGAGTAAACTGCAGGTCGGGTGTGGTGGCTCACGCCTGTAATCCCAGCACTCTGGGAGGCCGAGGCAGATGGATGACCTGAGGTTGGGAGTTCAAGACCAGCCTGGCCAACATGGTGAAATCCTGTCTCTACTAAACATACAAAAATTAATCAGGTGTGGTGGCCCGCACCTGTAATCCCAGCTACTCAGGAGGCTGAGGCAGGAGAATCACTTGAACTCAGGAGGTAGAGGTTGCAGTAAGCCAAGATTGCGCCACTGCACTCCAGCCTGGGTGACAGAGCACAACTCTGTCTCAAAAAAAAGAGTAAACTGCTGGCAGACAGACAAACATTTAACAGTCCAATGCATAAAAACATTACAATGACAGCAAACAAACAAAACAAAACCGAAAAAAGACAAATCAGACTCACGTGTCTCCAGCGCTAGATTTCTAGACCACACTCTTCTGTTCCTTCCCAAGATAAAAATGCAGCACGAAGTTCTGACTACACATTTCTTCAAGAAAGACCGTTGGATTCTGCAAGAGCAAGAGCCTAGAAAGAGAGAATGAGGAAATGAACATCTAAGTTCAGACACAAAACAGGGAAGAGGGAGACTGTCTGGCTTCACTCTCTCTCCGGGTGGGACTGGCACAAAAACGGGTCAGGCAAAATTTCCTAAGACTGCTTCCTCTGAGAAACGCTTTACTCCTACCCCCTTCAATCACTGTAGAGTCAACATACTCTTTTCTATGGCTTCAATCCTGCAAGGTTCAGGTCTGACAGGAAATCACATATGCTTGATTAGCAGGGTACAAAGGCAAGGGAGAGGGAGAGGGAGAGGGAAAGAGAATCTCTTGGGAGAACTAAATGCATAGACAAAGAAGCAGACTGGGGCGGGTGCGGTGGCTGATGCCTGTAATCCCAGCACTTTGGGAGGCTGAGGTAGGAGAATCGCTGGAACCCAAGGGGCAGAGGTTGCAGTGAGCTGAGATCGCACCATTGCACTCCAGCCTGGGTGACAGAGTGAGACTCTGTCAAAAAAACAAAAACAAAATCAAAAACAAAAAAATTCACCAAGTAAGGTGGCACATAGCTGTGGTCCCAGCTACTCGAGAGGCTGAGGCAGGAGAATTGCTTGAACCCCGGAAGCAGAGTTTGCAGTGAGCCAAGATCGTGCCTCTGCACTCTAGCCTGGGTGATAGAGCAAGACTCCATCTCAAAAAATAAAATAAAATAAAAAATAAATAAATAAATAAACAAATAAATAAAATGAGGGGACAGAGACAACAGCATCCCAAGATGAATCAGAGGAAGAATCTGCTGCCCAACTACAAGGGAGCAAAGACAACTGCTGTGTGTGTGTGTGTGTGTGTGTGTGTGTGTGTGTCTGAGACAGGGTCTTGCTCTGTCACCCAGGCTGGAGTGCAGCAGTACAATCACAGCTCATTGCAGCCTAGAACCCCTGAGCTTAAGCAATCCTCCTGCCTCAGCCTCCTGAATATTAGGGACTACAGATGAACACCACCATGCCCAGCTAATTTTTTATTTTTTGTAGAAACAGGGTCTTGCTATGTTGCCCAGGCTGACCTTGAACTCATGGCCTCAAGGGATCCTCCCACATTGGCCTCCTAAAGTGCTGAGATGATAGCTGTGAGCCACCACACTGGGCCTGCAGTTTCTTATAAATATATACTCACCATAAGACCCAGCAAGGCCAGGCGTGGTGGTTCATGCCTATAATCCCAGCACTTTGGGAGGCTGAGGCAAGCAGATCACCTGAGGTCAGGAGTTTGAAACTGGCCTGACCAACATGTTAAAATCCCGTCTCTACTAAAAATACGAAATTAGCCAGGTGTGGTGGCGCATGCCTGTAATCCCAGCTACTAGAGAGGCTGAGGCAGGAGAATTGCTTGAATCTGGAAGGCAGAGGTTGCAGTGAGCCGAGATCACGCCATTGCACTCCAGCCTGGGTAACAAGAACGAAACTCTGTCTCACAAAAAAAAAAAAAAAAAAAAAAAAAAAAAGACCTAGCAATCCCAATCTTGGAGTTTTATCCAAGAGAAACGAACATACATTCATAGCAGCTTTGTGACTACCCAACACTAGAAAAAACCCAAATGTTCATTAACAGATAAATAGCTAAACAAATTGTAGTATATCACTACAATGGAACACTACTCAGTAATAAAAAGAAATGAATTACCGATACATGCTACAACATGGATAAATATTTGAAAAATCATACTAATGGGGCCAGATGCGGTGGCTGACACCTGTAATCCTACAAGGCAGGTGGATCACGAGGTCAGGAGTTCAAGACCAGCCTGGTCAACACGGCGAAACCCTGTCTCTACTAAAAATACAAAAATTAGCCGGGCGTGGTGGCATGGCATGTACCTGTAATCCCACCTACTTGGGAGGCTGAGGCAGGAGAATCACTTGAACCTGGGAGACGGAGGTTGCAGTGAGGCAAGATCACACCATTGCACTCCAGCCTGGGTGACAGAGTGAGATACCAGTCTCAAAAAAAAAAATAAATAAAAAATAAAATAAAATTTAAAAATTAAAAAAAAGAAGAGTACATGGGATGGGAGAACTTATTGCAGCTACCTTGGAAAATATAATCTGCCACAGAGGGCAAGTAGAAAGAATGTTGGAGCTTAAGATTTCAGAAATCTAGCTGTCCAAAAGGATCACAAGAGCCGTTCCTGTGGCGGCTTAAGGGGAGTGGAAGCAAAGATCATCAGAGCTGAAGAAGATGTGGGATGGTGATTTCAGGTGAATTGCATGCTCATCCATGTGGAACGCTGACATGCTTAGGAAAGTAGAAGGATTTCAGAGAACAGAGGGCAAAACACGATTTCATTTTTTTTTTAGAAACAGGATCTTTCTCTGTCTCCTAGGCTGGAGTGCAGTGGCGTGATCATAGCTCACTGTATGTAGCCTTGAACTCCTGGGCTAGATCCTTATGCCTCAGTCTCCTGAATAGCTACGGCTACAGTGTGTGCCACCACGGCTGGCTAATTTTGTATTTTCATTTTTTGTAGAGATGGGTTCTTGCTATGTTGCCCAGGCTGGTTTGTAACTCCTGGCCTCAACTGATCCTCCCACATTGGCCTCTCAAAGCATTGGGATTACAGGCATGAGCCACTGTGCTCCACCACAAAACACTTTTTTTCTTTTGCCCAGGCTGGAGTGCAATGGCGTGATCTTGGCTCACCACAAACTCCACCTCCTGGGTTTAAGCGATTCTCCTGCCTCAGCCTCCTGAGTAGCTGGGGTTACAGGCATGCACCACCACGTCCGGCTAATTTTGTACTTTTAGTAGAGATGGGATTTTCTCCATGTTGGTCAGGCTGCTCTTGAACTCCCGACCTCAGGTGATCTGCCTGCCTCAGCCTCCCAAAGTGCTGGGATTACAGGTATGAGCCACAATGCCGGGCCCACAAAACACTCTTTGAAAAGCTTTTGTCTATTTTTCTGGAGTGGTGAAATCTCTGTGGTGAGGACTTCCTTTTTATTTGGGAAAAGATATTTGCTCTGGGCCTATTGTTTGTGCAAAGATACTAACAGCTAACATTTTTTGAGTGTCCATTCATTCATTAAAAATATATGTACCGGGCCCAGGCGTGATGGCTCACGCCTGTAATCCCAACACTTTGGGAGGCAGAGGCAGGTGGATCACTTGAGGTCAGGAGTTCGAGACCAGCCTGGCCAACATGCTAGAACCCTGTATCTACTAAAAATACAAAAATTAGCCAGGTATGGTGGCGTGCGCCTGTACTCGAGAGGCTGAGGCAGGACAATCGCTTGAACCCAGGAGACAGAGGTTGTAGTGAGCTGAGATCACGCCACTGCACTCCAGCCTGGCGAAAAAGCGAGACTCTGTCTCAGGAAAAACAAACAAACAAACAAAACCAAACCAAAACAGCAAAAAAATTTAAAAAGTTCTAGTATCTAAAATGAGCAAAATCGTCGGGCGCGGTGGATCACACCTATAATCCAGGCCCATCGTTTACATTTTTAAAAAGATGTTTTCTTCATTTCCTAGCCCCGTCTACCCCGCTACGAAGTTTCAAAGGCTTAATGCTATTACAACCGGCCGTCAGAGGTCAAGCTCGGGGGTGCAGCTCCCTAATACGTGGCAGTCTCAGAGGGGCCGACCCTGCCCAGGATGAGCGGCGCCAAGTGGCGGGGGACTCTCCCGTGGTCCCCGAGCCCTGGCTGGGGAAGGTGTTGTGGGACGCATGTGGCCTCAGGTGAGGCCAATGCGCCGCCAGGGCTGCAGCTGGCGCTGGCCATTGAGGAGCTTCTGCGCTACCTCGCGATCGTGCCCGGCACTTCCAGCAGGCCGGGAAGTGGTAAAGCTCCTCCTAGTAGCTTATGGGCGGAGGCGGCCGGGCAAAAGCCCGCGGACAATGATCGGCAACTTCAGCTGATGCCAGTCTGGCAGCCTGTGGCCGCCCGCCCGGCAGCCTGTGGCCACCCGCCCGCGAATGCGCGCTCCTGGAAGACCCAGCCACCCCGCCTCGAGTTCCGATTGGGTCCGCGTGAGAGGCGGGCCTCTGCGCCGTCACAGGGGCGCGCCTCCGTTGACGTCACAGGGGCGGGCCTTCGGTGACGTCATGAAGGTGGTCCTTCGGCTTCCTTGCAGGATGGCGTTCGGCGCCGTCACTTGGGTGGTGCGGTGCTTAGAGTTAGGTAGTCTTCTCAGAGTGGAGCCTGGTAGCCGCGACCTCCCCGCCAGGTCCTGTGTGTTGCTAGCTGGAAAAGGGTGGCTGACAAACTCCGACCCGTTCACAGTGTTTATGTGGTCAAAAATAGAAAACTATGTCCGGGCGCGGCCAGCGGGAGGAGCCCTTCAGGCCAAGAGCAGCATGGCGCGACCCCATCTCTGTAGTCCTACCTCAGCTCCCCAGCTACTTGAACCCCAAGGTTCAAGGCTTCAGTGAGCTATGATCCCACCACAGCATTCCAGCCTGCGAGACTGAGGTAAACCCTGTCTAAAAAAAAAGAAAACTAACCAAGTGTGCACTGCTTAAAGAAAACATGAGGCTGGCTGGGCCCTGTAATCCCAGCGCTTTGGGAGGCCGAAGCAGAAGGATGGATGGCTTGGGCGCAGGAGTTCGAGACCGGCCTGGGCAACATGACAAAACCCCCGTCTCTACAAAAGATACACAAATTAGCCCAGCGTGGTGCGCGCCTGGCTTAGCTTTTGTATCTTTTGTAGAGCTGGGCGGGGGGGGGGGGGGGGGTCTCGCTGTGTTGCCCAGGCTGGTTTCGAACTCCTGGGTTCAAGTGGTCTTCTTACCTTGGCCATCCGAGTTTTCGGGATTACAGGCTTGAGCCACCGTGCCTCGCCTGGGTTAGGCTATTTAATAGCATAAGAAAGTGTTAAGTGGCTCAGGCCTGTAATCCCAGCACTTTGGGAGGCCAAGGCGGGTGGATCACCTGAGATCAGGAGTTCGAGACCAGCCTGGCCAACATGGTGAAACCCAGTCTCTACAAAAAATACAAAAATTAACAGGATGTGGTAGAGCATTCCTGTAGTCCCAGCTACTCGGGAGGCTGATACAGGAGAATCGCTTGAACCCAGGAGGCGGAAGTTGCAGTGAGCGGACATCCCACCACTGTACCCCATCCTGGGCGACCCAGCGAGACTCCAAAGTTTGACACCAGCCTGGGCAATGTAGTGAAACCCTGTCGCTACAAAACAAAAGACCCAGGTGTAACTGTGTTCACCTGTGGCCCCAGCTACTTAGGAGGCAGGAGAATCACTTGAGGCCAGGAGGTCAAGGCTGCAGTGAGCTATGATCATCCCAACTACTTTCCATCCTGAGCAACAGAATGAAACCATGTCTCTGGATAGCTAGCTAGCTAGCTAATCGATAGGTAGTTTTCTATCATAGTTTTTTTTCCTAGATTTGAACATGTTTTTCTAAAGTAGCATTCAACACATCAGCATTTTACAGTGTTATTGTTAATATTATGTTTTTCTGAAATACAGTATCCTTCACAAAAGCAGTTTTGTCTTTCAAAGCACATAGATAGGACCTCAAGTGAATTTGTCTGATGTTGGCGACCTTGGTACCCTTTTGTCCACTTCATTGGAGCAGTCAGTCAATAATTTCAGGTTACTATTGGTCTTAGAAGAAGAGCTCAAAGGCAACAAGCAAGGGTGCTGGTGTCCAGTTACCTTCTAGAAGCATTTTCACCTTCCCTTAAAGTTTCCCTTGATGAACATAGAAGTACTGTATGTAGAATTGACACAGTGCTGCCCTGGCAACTGTATATTAGGCCAAATTTACATTTTTTACCTTTGTGAGAGGCACCCTGGTAGGGTAGTGGAGTTACACACACAGTCTGATCTCAGCTGCACTGTCCAGAGATGCAACACGGTCCAATCAAATAACATTCTCTGAGCCCGTTTCTTTAGCTGTAAAGTAAGAATAACAATTATATTCATCTAAAAAGACAGCTTATTGTATTTGAGTGGTCTTTTATTTTCTATGAAACTGTCTTTAACACAGTAATTATTTTCATTTCCATACCACATTTGTTTTTTGTTTTGTTTTTGATTTTTTTTTGAGATGGAGTCTGTTTTTGTTTTTGTTTTTTTTGAGATGAAGTTTTGTGTTGTTGCCCAGGCTAGAGTGCAGTGGCATGATCTCCACTCACTGCCACCTCCGCCTCCCAGATTCAAGAGATTCTCCTGCCTCAGCCTCCTGAGAAGCTGGGATTACAGGTGCCCACCACCACACCTGGCTAATTTTTTTAAATTATTATTTTTAGTAGAGATGGGATTACATCATGTTGCCCAGGCTGTTCTCAAACTACTGACCTGAAGTGATTCACCCGCCTTGGCCTCCCAAAGTACTGAAATTATAGGCGTGAGCCACTGAGCCTGACCTTTTTTTAAAATAAGGATTTCTTGGCCAGGCGTGGTGGCTCACACCTGTAATTCCAGCACTTTGGGAGGCCAAGGTGGGTGATCACCTGAAGTCGGGAGTTCAAGACCAGCCTGACCAACATGGAGAAACCCTGCCTCTTCTAAAAATACAAAATTAAACAGACATGGTGGTGCATGCCTGTAATCCCAGCTACTCGGGAGGCTGAGGCAGCAGAATTGCTTGAACCCAGGAGGCGGAGGTTGCAGTGAGCCAAGAACAGGCCGTTGCATTCCAGCTTGGGCAACAAGAGTAAAACTCCATCTCAAAATTAAAAAAAAAAATTCCTAAAATGATATTTTCAGTATTTTATAGATGATGTGTGTGCAGCAATCTTAATAGGACGTTACCTGACACTTTGCAGGACTAGAAGATGATGGTGGCAGCTGATTTGATCCATTTGTCTCTAATTCTCTCTCTTTTTTTTTGAGATGGAGCCTTGCTCTGTCGCCCAGGCTGGAGTGCAGTGGCATAATCTCGGCTCACTGCAACCTCTACCTCCCGGGTTCAAGGGATTCTCCTGCCTCAGGCTCCTGAGTAGCTGGGATTACAGGCACGTGCCACCATGCCTGGCTAATTTTTGTATTTTTTTGATAGAGATGGCGTTTCACCATGTTGGCCGGTCTGGCCTGGAACTCCTGACCTCAGGTGATGTGTCTGCCTCGGCCTCCCAAAGTGTTGGTATTACAGGTGTGAGCCATCGCGCCTGGCCCAGATGTCTCTAAAGCTAACGTGAGATGTATTGCAGGATCATAGCAGAGTGAGTTGCTGGTATATCCACAAGGAAATGAGCATGGAACTCTCACAACAGCTGCCTTGAGTAGTGTGTGTGTGCTGTGCTTGAATACCTCACCGCTCATTTATACACAGGCTTTCTGGTAACTGAGTCAACAGTATCTGTTTCATAAATAATGCCTGCCTGCCTGCCTGCCTGCCTTCCTTCCTTCCTTCCTTCCTTCCTTCCTTCCTTCCTTCCTTCCTTCAACAGTATCTGTTTCCATAAATAATGTATCCTCTCCTTCCCTTCCTTCTCCTTTCCTTTCCTTTCCTTTCTCTCTTTCCTTTCCTCCTTCCTTTTTCCTTCCTTTTCCTCTTCCTTCCTTCCTTCCTTCCTTCCTTCCTTCCTTCCTTCCTTCCTTTTTCTTTCTTCTTTCCTTCTTTCTTTTCTTTTTTTTTGAGACAGGGTCTTGCTCTGTTACCCAGGCTTGAGTACAGTTATGTGATCTCGGCTAATCACAACTTCTGCCTCCCGGGTTCAAGCGATTCTCCTGCCTCAGCCTCCCAAGTAGCTGGGATTACATGTGCCACCACTCCTGGCTAATTTTTGTTGTCTTTTGAGACGGAGTTTCACTCTTGTTGCCCAGGCTGGAGTGCAATGGCACAATCTCGTCTCACTGCAACCTTTGCCTTTTGGGTTCAAGCGATTCTCCTGCCTCAGTGCCCTGAGTAGCTGGGTTTACAGGCATGCGCCACCGCGCCTGGCTAATATTGTATTTTTAGTAGAGACGGGATTTCTCTGTTTTGGTCAGGCTGGTCTCTAAACTCCCGACCTCAGGTGATCTAGCCGCCTTGGCCTCCCAAAGTGCTGGGATCACAGGCATGAGCCACCGCGCCCAACCTAATTTTTGTATTTTTAGTAGAGATGGGGTTTCACCATGTAGGCTAGGCTGGTCTCGAATTCCTGACCTCACGTGCTCTGCCTGCCTTGGCCTCCCAAAGTGTTGGAATTACAGGCGTGAGCCACCATACCTGGCCAGCTCTATTTCTTTAAGCCTACACATTTTGCACATATTAAAAGTATTTGAACATACAATTATCCAGCTTCCCTTGTTTATGTATGCTTGAATTTTGTATAATCTTGAATTTTTTTCCAATCTAAGCTTTATTTTATCCCCTTCTATATTCGTATAGCTTTAGGTGGCTGTCTTCATTGAAAGATTTTTCTCAAAAGCCTTAAAATAGAATACAGTTCTTGGCAACAATTTGAAAGTTATTTGAGGAGAAGGGAAGATTTATAATGATGATTCAAATGAAGCAAACTCAAAAGTAATGAAGCAAGACGGAGGAAAAAGCAGTATTCACTTGAGCACATCCCAAAAGAATAACATTTCAAATGTAACTAGAAAAAAGTTCACAATAGAGAAAAAAGGTCACAATAGAGAAATAATTATTAATACTCAAAATACCTTTAAACCTCCACTCAACTTTTGAATGTTTTTGAGCAGGAGGTGGCTGTAACTCTATGATGGTTCCTTCAATAATGACCATTTTCTTTTTCAAGATGATGATGATTCTCCACCTTCTAAGAGACCAAAACCAACGAGCCACTATAGCCACCACTCTTGGAACCCGCCAATGCTGGGCAACGGAAAGTGAAGGAGTTCAACTCTGGTAAGTTCTCAGCGAAATCTACAACCTTTTCCTTCATCTTCTGGACTCTCAATGTGACTAATGAAAGTTACAACATGCTCTGCAGGGGGAAACGCTTTAGCATGTATTACTGCATTGTAATCTCATCTTTGTA